AAAATAAATCAACTGAAGGAGTCTAATAAGTAATCATAAGTGCACAATTGCCTTGTGCTGCCCTATGTCTTGTGTCTTAAATGTGACAGCTGCACACATGACTGAACAAAAGCTTGCATGGGTCTCTGATCATTGACCAACTCCAATTTACTTGCAATTACATTTATTGGTCTTGGTGCTCTCGAGGTTTTGCATTTTACTTTTACAGCTGCCTAGTGCTCAAGTGTTAGACACCAGGAGCACTGAGCACCTGCAGATTGCACACGCTTCATTTGCCACTGCATACTTCCCCTGCTGCAACAGTGGGAAAATGTGGAAGCTCCTAAGGGCCTGATGTGGTCCACAGTCATAGTTTTCCCAACTATGGTTCATGCTCTTGGGAGCTAAAGATGTCACTGTCAACAGTGGAGCATTTAAAAGTCAGGAAAGGCAAGAGGCCAGAACTGGAAGCACACGGATATACTGAACAACTGTAAGGCTAGAGAAGGTTACAAGGAGAGAGAGGAGTGAGGCCATGGAGAGAACTGAAGGGAAGAACATAAAGTCTGAAAATTGAACAGCTTCTCAACCAGGAGCCAATGGAGGTCAGCAAGCACAGGACTATGAGTTTGTATGAGGGCAGGGAGTTGTGATGAACTATTTTGTGTGGAGGGTGAAAATCGGAGCTGGCCAGAACTCTTGAAATAATCACAACTACGGGTAATAAAAGCAATGATGAGGGGTTCAACAGCAGATGGGGTTGTTGCAAAAGCAGAGATGGGTGATGTCACAAAGATACAAGTAGACAGAATTAACGACAAACCAGATGTGTTTAGAAACTCATCAAATGTAACACAGAGGTTGAGAACAGTCTGTCTCAACTCAAACAGATACCAAAGAAGGGGAATGGGCAGGAAATGGAATTTGTAGCAGGAACCAATAACAATGGCTTGGGTCTTCCTAATATTTAGTTGTAGGCAATTTCTACTCATCTGATACTGTATGTCTACCAAGCAGTTGGACAGCGAAGGGACCGAGTGAGGTGACAGTAAAATACAACTGTGTTGTCAGGATGCAAATGAAACCAGACCTGATGGCTGCAATCGTACCCCGCCCCCCCACCCACGAAGTCTGAATATTGCGCGCTATTTCGTCACAGACTATGTCAATGTCACAGGAGTCTCAAATAGTGGTGAACAATATACAGTTATTAGCAAACGTCACCCCACTTTTGAACTGATGATGGAGCTACTCATGAAGCAGCCAATGATGGTTGGTGTTAGGACACTACTCTCAGGAACTCCTGCAGTGATAACCTGTGGCTGAGATTGTTGACTTTTAACAACTACAATTATTTAGTTCTGAGGAAGGGTCACCGGACCCGAAACGTTAACTCTGTTTTCTCCTTCACAGATGCTGCCAGACCTGCTGAGCTTTTCCAGCAACTTTGTTTTTGTTCTTGATTTACAGCATCTGCAGTTCTTTCGGTTTTTACAATTATTTCCTTTACGCTTGGAATGACTCTAACCAGTGGAGAGCTTCCTGGTCAGATTCCCATTGACTCGAGTTTTGAAAGCATACCTTGAAGCCACACTTGGTCAAATGCTGCCTTGATGTCAGATTTGTGAGTATAGGTTAGAGTACCTGAGAAGAATGCATTTTAACAATTTCAGCCAACCTGGGGCCAGAAAGGAAACAGTGCGTCAGCAATTGGAAAATGGTGGCAGGAGAAGGATGTAGACTCACAGATAAACAAGCTCAGAGACACAATGAAAGATAGGGGTCAAAGTAGAGAAAGATGCAAACTCAGCATAATAACAGCATGGTAAAAAAAAGCTGAACCTTTGGGCTACAGGAACGATGAAAGGAAGAAAGCAGCAGACTCAACTAAATAGATAGTCTCAATCCCAGTCAGAAAGAACGCCACAAGACGTGCAACAAAACACTGAAAATGCTGAAGCTCTGAAACAGAAACAGAAACAGAAAGTGTTGGAAAAAAAAATCAGCAGGTCTAACAACATCTGTGGGGATAAAAACAGCTGCCAAACTGGAGACAAAAACAGTTTTGCCACTTACACACTGTACAGGCTCCTGAAATCAACATTACATTCAACAACTTGAAGCCTTGAATTCTCCTTCATTTTCATTTCCCCCTGCCGCTGCTCCCACGCAGTGTCTTGTTTTTATGGTTTTGCTTTCAACACAACTGATCTTTCTCTGCTATGAACAATTTCTATTAACACCGATACTGTAAACTTCAAAACTTTAACTGTTCAGGAATTGAAAGAATCAGTAAAAACTCTTTCTGGAATAAACTGGTTCCTGAGATGAAAGAGACAAGGAGAAACTTATAAAGGAATTAAAAGAAACATGCTAATTAATCAGTGTGGAGCTGGAGGAACACAGTAGGCCAAGCAGCATCAGAGGAGCAGAAAAGTTGACGTTTTGGGTCGGGACCCTTCTTCAGAATTGGGGAGGGGGAAGGGAGCTCACAACTAAATAGAGAGAGGAGTCGTCAAGCTGAGGAAGGTAGGGGAGATAGTGATAGGTGAGTGCGGGTAGAGTGTGATGGGGTTTGGTCATGAGGTGGGAGGGGCGGATAGGTGGGAGAAAAGATGGTCAAGTTGTGTCAGGTCAAGGAGGTGGGGATGAGAGGTAGGGTTGGTTATGGGATGAGGCCATGGGGAGATTTTGAAACTGGTAAAATCCACGCTTAGGCCATTGGGCTGTAGGCTCCCGAGACAGAATATGAGGAGCTGCTCCTCCAGTTTGCAGGTGGCGTCATTGTGACACTGGAGGCGGCCCAGGATGGACCTCTAACGTATCCATCCTTACCACCCTCTGGTTAAAGAAACTTGCCCCTCACATCTCCTTTAAGCTTACCCCCCCACCCTTTTGCCTTAAACCTCCATCCCCTAATAATTCACATTTCTACCCTGGGAAAAGGGCTCCAACTCTCCATTCTATCCCTATCAGGTTACCCCACAGCCTCACACATTCAAGTGAAAACAAACCAAGTTTGTCCAATCTCTCCTCATAGCTAATACCCTCCACACCAGGCAATTTCCTTTTTCTGTACCCTCTCCAAAGCCTCCACATCCTTCTGGTAGTGTGGTGACCAGAACTATACAATATTCCCAATGTGGTCTAACTAAACTTTTATACAGCTGCAACATGGCTTGCCAATCTTGAAACTATGCCCCAAATGAAGACAAGCATGCCATATACCTTCTTGATTACTTTATCCACTTGAGATGCTACTTTCAGGGAACTGTGGATCTGTATGCTTAGATCCATCTGTACGGAAAAGCTGCTAAGGAATCTGTATTTACTGTATATTTCCCTCCTGCATTAGACGTTCCAAAATGCATTACCTCACATTTGCCTGGATTAAATTCCATCTGACATTTCGCCACCCAAGCCTCCAGCCTATCTTTATCCTGTTGTATCCTCTGGCAATCCTCCTCACACTCCGCAGTTCCCCGAATCTTTGTGTTGTCCTCAAACTTACTAATCAGACCACCTGCATTCTCCTTCAAATTATTTATATTTTATTTATATATATTTATTTACATAACATATATATTATAATCGGCATATAGAGGATATATATATCCTTTAATAAAAAAACTGAAAACAACAGAGGCCCCAGCATTGATCCTGCAGAACACCAATGGTCATAAATCAGTAGTTAGAAAAACACCCTTCCACTTCTACGCTCTGTCCTCTTTGAGCAAGTCAGTTCTGTATCCATCTTATGAGCTCACCATAGATACCATGTGACTTCACCTTCTGATTCAGACTGTCATGAGGGATCTTGTCAAAGGCCTTGCTAAAGTCCATGTAGACAACATCCACCACCCTGCCCTCAGCGATCTTTGTTACTTCCCCAAAAACCTCAATCCAGTTTGAGAGACATGACACCCAGCACCACCACTCCCACACACACAAAGCCATGCTGCATATCACTAATAAGTTCATTTTTTCCAAATGTGAGTAAATCCAATCCCTAAGAATCTTCGCCAATAACTTACCCTTCATTGACCTAAGGCTCACTGGTCTGTAATTTCTCAGACTATCCCTGTTGTCCTTCTTAAACAAAGGGATACCATTAACTATTCGCTAGTCTTCTGGGACCTCTCCTGTGACTGAAGTGGATACAAAGATTTTCTCTCCACAAATTCTCCCAAATTTCTGAGTTTCTCCATTTCTTGCTGTTCTGATCCTTAGATTTGTTGGAGGTGAAAGTGGAGGAGTCAGTGTTAGAATTACAGGGAATTAGAAAGATGATTTGTTGTAGCAAAAAGTAGTTGGAAGTTATAATGAACAGTTTTAACAGAGAAAAACAGGAATCTATTGTGCTTTATGTGGTCCTGCCAGATCTGGCAACACAGCAAGTGTCCACCATTTGTGTTGAAGCTTGTATCTTATAGAAGCAGAAATGTGACCTGTACAACTGCGAATTGTACAAAATCCACATCTAGATGGCGCAAAGAGCACAGTGCAAAAATAAAGCTCGCACCATTTGTAAGCAATGCTAGCTGCTGCCCTGTTTAGGTTAACTGAGAACAATACTTTCTTACTTTGATCTGAAGTCACCTCTACATGTTTATGAAGCTTCTTCACCCACTATCACTTCTATTACCCTCCTACAGTCAGGTGAAGGAAATCCTGATCTATCAATTGCTCACTTGTAAAATTCTTAAAAGTTACTAAAAGTATGGATTCACTCATTCATACTTACTCAACCATCACTGTGACCTAAGTATTTGTATGCCAATATATGAGCTTAATCTATTTTTAGGAGCTACAAAGTTTGCTTCTGATACCAATGCAATGCTACAGTGGATATTATCTCAGAGTGAATCTCAAATTGTTTAAAATGCACTTACAGGTTTGTACTTAATCAGTTCTCTGTCCAGTCCAACAAGAATGTGAATCACAATGAATACCAATAGACAGTGGCTTTTCATTGAAATATGACCCAGAACAGATTCGAACAAAAAAGTGGATGACACCAATTATGGGCACAGGTCACATACCATTTTCACTATTTCAGGATAGGCTTGTTCAAGAAGCACACCTCTATTTGAGGTGAGGAAATCCACCAATTCATTCAGCGTTGCTCTTTTGACCTCTTTACCCTTTAAGTCTGAAACAGAGTCCATGAAATCAAAAATCACGCAGCACTGCTGGAGTTTTTGACAGAAGAGATCATGCTGTTCAGCGTTTGGAGCATCTATAGACAGAGAAAAGATACACTCATTAAGCATTTTGGCATTTCATTTCTTATCTGTTTTCCAATCAAACTTGGTTACATTTGATACTTTAGCAGCAATAGTACTGCACTGTTGTGAACACTGATCATAATTGATTACAATATGGCTTGGTCCAATATGACTAAATCCAGCAATTAACTTCATCATTAAAGGGCCTAGATTTTCTAAAGGATTACTTTAAACTCATATTGCTTTTCTATTGTGTAAGCAGAACAAAATCTACAGGGAATTCAACTGACTTATCTTTCAAGCCACAACAAAATTCTTTGGACGATACTTTCTGATTTTGAGGCCATAGGAACGAGTGTGGGCAAATCAGTCTTTCAATGAAATCCAGTTGGGGCTCATCTAGTGTCTTGAATCAATTTTACACTGCATCCTTATTTTTATATTCAATGGTCCAAATTAAAACGCAAAGATTATCTACCATTTCATTAATGTAACTACTTACACTACATTGGTATCTTTAAAGACATGTGTACTATATATATTGATGAAAATGAAGTCTGGAACTGATCAAACCTTACTAATAGCACTATCATTCAAATTCCAGATAAATGCAACTATTATAAAACTTGTCATATCCATTAACTTTCTTGAAAAGAGAAATACTGCGTGCAGTTAAGAATCAGAATTCCATGATGACTCCAACCTCCACAGGTAACATCATAAGCAGCTTGATTAGACAGAATGAAGTCACTAAACATTCTTAACAGCTATTTATACAGGCCGCAATTTTGCCAAAATCTCAAAGCAAGGAAATTTTTAAAAATTACAGTTGTAAACACCATACCTTCATTTCAAAAAGGCTATTATTACAGAAGCTTTTTTTTTTAAGTTACAGCAATATACTAGAAAACTAAACAAATATTTAAGAATGAGTAATTAGAAATTTAGGGATCTGTAAGGTGAATCTAAAATCCCCGGTTTGCAAACATAGAATTGAAGCCACATTTTCTCAGGGAACTTTTTTTTTTAAAAAGTAATTTCTGCAATTAGTTCCTGACAGCTCAGTGCAACTCTGCAATCTTTGCAGAATTGCTATTTAAAAGATTTGCCTTTAATTTTCAAAATTATAACCAATAAACAGAAAATGCAACTGCTTACATGCCAGAAGAAAACCTGCTCTTAGGCTTACAAAGATGCACATTCCAGGTTTGCTCTTTTTACTGAAGCATAATCTTTCATTTTGAAGTGATATCAGTGAAAATTGTAAACAGGCTGTGCAGTTTCAAAAATCAATAGCACATGAACAAATTAAATTTCATCACATGCTCTGTGATATTGTGAGGCAGATGTATTGAACCAACATTTTTTAAAAAGTCAGACATTGTTATCCAGGAGCTACAGTTATGCATATCTTAAGTTTAATTGTTTTTCATTCACTGGGTTTAGGTGTAGTTGGCAAAGCAAGCATATACAGCCCATGCTATTTGTCCTGAAGATGTAGTAGTGACTTGCCTTCTTGAACTAATATATAATATAGCTCATGTAGTGAAGGTATGCCCACAATGCTATTTGCCAAGTTGCTCAATGAAGTAACAATGAAAAACTATAGAAGTCACAACAGTGGGTGACTATTAGGGAAATGTGAAGTTGGCAATGTGCCTGCTGCCCTTTTTGATTTTAACATATATAAGTCATAAGTTTAGAAACCTTGGTGAGTTGCACTGTATCTTGTACATTTTATGCATTCCAGCCACAGGCACCAGTTAAAGATGATGGAGAGGGTGTTGAACATATGCATACTTTGCCCTGGATGAGAAGAAGCCTCGGGAGTTTTGTTGGAGCTGCATTCATCTAGATAATGACAGGTCATTCCATCACACTACTGGCTTCTGTCTTATAGGTGATGGACAGGCTTCTGTCTTATAGGCTTTGGACAGTCAGGAGCCAAGTTATCCATTGTACACCATTCTAATCTCTAAATTTCTTTTGCACCCACAGAATGAGTGAGTCTAGTTAGATTTCTGATCAATGGTGACCTCAGGATTTTAATGGGGCAGATTCATTAATGGCAATGCCACTAAATATGGTTAGGCTCTCTCTTGTTGGAAATGGTCATTGCCTAAGTCTTATGAGGTGTGCATGATATCAGCTTAAGTCCAGAATTGTTCTGGTCCTGCTGCATGTGTGCACAGATTGTTCCATTAATCAAGAAATTGCAAGGTATGAATAGTCAGTGGACACACTCACTTTTGTTGGAGAGAAAGCGATTGCTGAAGCTAAAAATTTTTGGGTCAAAAATAATGCTGAGGAAGTCATGCACCAATATCCTGAGACCAAGATGACTGCCCCGAAACAAGCATTATCTTCTTTTGTGCCAAGCCTGACTCCAAACACAGAGACCTTCCTCCCCTTTCCATTAACTTCAGTTTTACAAGGACTGAATGCAACACATCAAATTCTGCCTTTCCTCACAGCTGGATTTCAGCTCTTTTGTCAATGCTTGAGCAATGACTGGATTATTAGGAAGTTAAGTGCAATGTAACAGCACTGTTGGCAGTGCCTTGCATCAGGTTGCTGATTAAGAGTAGACTGATGGACCAGTAATTGACTGAATTGGATTTGACCTGCTTTTTGTGAACAGATCATACCCAGATGATTTTCACATTGTTCAATAGCTGACAGTGTTGTAGCTATAATGGAACACCTTGGTCTGAAATGTAGCTTGTTCTGGATTACAGTTCTTCAGCACTACAGCCAGGATGCTGTCATGATCCAGAGTATCCAATGACCTAAGCCATTTCTTGTTACAGGTGGAATGAATTGACAGCACAGATTGTCATCCGTGATGATGGGGGCTGTAGGAGAAGGCTAAGGTGAACATTGTCTCCAAGGCTTCTGGATGAAGATGGTTCAGATTGACTTGTTCAATCCATAATGGTGCAGCCCAATTCGAGAATGGAGACATTCATCTTGACCCATGCCAGGTATGATAGTGCTAAAAGAATAGTTTGTCCACTACCTTCACAACCAGATGCAGCAGAACAGCAAAACCTTGATCTGATCTGTTGGATTGCTTAGCTTGGAACTGACACATTAATCCCACCAATTAGCATGTAGTCAGTCCTGTGTTTTAACTTCACTGTATTGTACCTCATTCTCGGACAGATCTGGTGCTGCTCCTGCCATGCTCTTCTCAAACTCATCAGTCAGTTTGGTCACCTGTATAGATATTAATTACGGAATGGAGAATATGCCAGATTAAAATTTGTAGTGGAATACAATTCTGCCCACCATGCTTTGTGGGCGTCTATTTTTGAGTTGGATTAACACATTAACAATAGGAAGATTAGTGAGGAAGGAGCCAAGTAGACTTATTTTCTTCTGCTAGCTCTCTCAGCACGTGTGATTGTGCCAATTTGGCAATTATGTCCTTTACGACTCAATCACTAAGGAGGTTTCTAAACCATGCTTGGTAAAGGACTCTTAGGATTTCCCATCCATTGTGTGCCATTATTTCCTTTGATGCTTCTTACTTGTGGTATCAATTATGCTGGAGAAGAGCAGGAGCACTCTATCCCAACATTGACCTTGCACCATCAGGCTTCATGGGGTTTAGAATGTTGAGGATTGCCAGGAACATGCACTTCAGATTCCATTGTACTCCACCTCTGTGGATCGGTCCTGATGAGACAGCATACATCCTGGAGAGGAGCATAGGATGCTGGCTGTTAATATATTGGATAGCCTGTGGCACAGTTGTTCCAATTTTGGCTGAAGTACACAGACATTAGCGAGGAATGTTTTGCAAGATCAATGAAGATGTGTCTCATGCTATCAACAATGTCTAGGTTGAAGCTATTTACTTTTGTTCTTATTATACTGTTTTGTAGTGATTTGACACACTGTAAATGTTACTGCATTTCAAATGCTAACTTATACCTTCCATTTGTCGTCGGCTTTAATACAATTATTCAGTTTATCCAAAATGCAATTAGGATTATAGTCTGTAGAAAACGTTGTGGAGGTTTTCCGAATGGATTATAATATTAGACTAATGGCCATAAATAAAATTTTACTCATTCTTAGAAGAAATTTTGAACTTGGTCATATATATAAGAATTCATAATCCCTTTGCAAAGTGACAAAGAACTGTCAAGTGTTATAAAGCAGAGGTCGGGGCTCATCTGAGAACTAAAACCGAAACACCCAAAGAGGAGTACCTCACCCAGAATTTGTAAAAGGAATGTGAGAAGTGGTGTAACCAGCTTTTAAGCAACTTCTAGTGGTTACATAAAATAAATCCCTGACACTCACTTTAAAATCAACAAGTAACAATTTATTTATCTAACAGTGAACAAATTAACTAAACTATTAAAGAAACCTAATAAATCCCCTCCAACTACTAACTATAATAAAGCAAGCTTTTAATGGCATGCTGTTCCAATAAATAAGTCCCACTTATATAAAAAATACAGAATTTAGTCTCTCAAAATTACAGGCAGGTTACATGTCTTCCAGAATGTTCTGTGCCTCTTCTGTCAGGAATATTAACTCGTTGTGCTGTTGGTACTGTTATTTAGATAGTGCTTTCTCGAAGACATAGAGGAGACTGAGACAGCCAGCAATTCTCTCTTGAGAGCTGAGGGCTGCTAGCTCTGGCAGATGTCAGTTAGCTCTGGGGCTTTTCGCAACTGCCTGTTCTTTTTATACCCTTGATGATATATCAATATTTCTTAAAATAGAAGTAGTCTTATGTTGTCAAAACCATCAGGTTTAAATTTAATTGGATTTTGGGGTCTAAGTGCCTGGTTCAAATTTATTGCCTAAATTCAAAAGCCTGTTCTGTTGGTAAAAATTGCTACTTGGCCTGCTAACTGTACAGGGGGTCTGCTTTCACACGTGTTCCGGCAACACGAATTGGCTACAACGCGACTGACAAACAGGGGAACACTATTTCTAAAACTTGAACCTTGTGTTGGCTATTACGCAATTCCATCTGAGCACAGAGGAG